TGGGTCCCATACTATGCATAGAAACATGTACACTTGTGGGTCTCATATGCATAGAAACATGTAAACTTGCAATCCCATACTATGCATAGAATCATGTACACTTATGGGTCCCATACTATGCATAGAAACATATACACTTGTGGGTCCCATACCACGCATCGAAACATGTTCACTTGCAGGTCCCATACTATGCATAGAAACATGTACACTTATGGGTCCCATACTATGCATAGAAACATATACACTTGTGGGTACCATACCACCCATAGAAACATGTTCACTTGCAGGTCCCATACTATGCATAGATCCATGTACACTTATGGGTCCCATACTATGCATAGAAACATGTACACTTGTGGGTCCCATACCACGCATAGAAACATGTTCACTTGCAGGTCCCATACTATACATAGAAACATATACACTTGCAGGTCCCATACTATGCATAGAAACATATACACTTATGGGTCCCATACTATGCATAGAAACATGTACACTTATGGGTCCCATATTCATAGAAACATATACACTTGTGGGTCCCATACTATGCATAGAAACATATACACTTATGGGTCCCATACTAAACATAGAAACATGTACACTTGTAGGTCCTATACTATGCATAGAAACATATACACTTGTGGGTCCCATACTATGCATAGAAACATGTACACTTGTTGGTCCCATACTATGCATATAAACATATACACTTGTGGGTCCCATACTATGCATAGAAACATATACACTTATGGGTCCCATACTAAACATAGAAACATGTACACTTGTAGGTCCCATACTATGCATAGAAACATTACACTTGTGGGTCCCATACTATGCATAGAAACATGTACACTTATGGGTCCCATATGCATAGAAACATATACACTTGTGGGTCCCATACTATGCATAGAAACATATACACTTATGGGTCCCATATGCATAGAAACATATACACTTATGGGTCCCATACTATGCATAGAAACATGTACACTTGTGGGTCCCATACTATGCATAGAAACATATACACTTGTGGGTCCCATATGCGTAGAAACATGTACACTTGCAGGTCCCATACTATGCATAGAAACATGTACACTTATGGGTCCCATACTATGCATAGAAACATATACACTTGTGGGTCCCATACTATGCATAGAAACATATACACTTGTGGGTCCCATACTATGCATAGAAACATATACACTTATGGGTCCCATACTAAACATAGAAACATGTACACTTGTAGGTCCCATACTATGCATAGAAACATTACACTTGTGGGTCCCATACTATGCATAGAAACATGTACACTTATGGGTCCCATATGCATAGAAACATATACACTTGTGGGTCCCATACTATGCATAGAAACATATACACTTATGGGTCCCATATGCATAGAAACATATACACTTGTGGGTCCCATACTATGCATAGAAACATATACACTTGTGGGTCCCATATGCATAGAAATATATACACTTATGGGTCCCATACTATGCATAGAAACATGTACACTTGTGGGTCCCATACTATGCATAGAAACATATACACTTGTGGGTCCCATATGCATAGAAACATGTACACTTGCAGGTCCCATACTATGCATAAAAACATAATATACACTTGTGGTCAAATGGGTTTATTTGGAATGCTTTTGAATACATGTGGCAATATGTATTTTGATTCATATTAATATTTGTTATATTTTTTCTTATGTCTTCAGCACATTAGAGATATTTCTTAGCTTTATTTCATTTCTTTGTTAGTTCAATCTTGTGCCGTGGATGAGGCCGACTGATTTGGTTGATGAAGAAATATTTCGTAAAGAACTAGATGAGGATATAGAGGACCTTATTTTAAAAAGTGACAACAAATTTAGGGTGTTGATTACACATAATTCGTTAGGAGGCGTGAAAGAATCCAGGAGGGCCGAGGTAAGAAGGACACTACCTTGGATCAAATACAAGGATTATTATACAGTTATGAGAATATTGCAAAATATGCATGAAACAAGTACAATGTACTTTAATTGACCAATGTGTAGCAAATGTTGATGCAATCCTATACACTGCCTGATTGGTTTTCTTGTGATAACCTTATTATACCTCTCCTCCTGTATGTGGTTATTCGGTGATGTTATTCGATATCCATTGTGTGCTACATTCTTGCTGTGTCTAATTAAAAATATGTGTTCAAATATGGCACAAAATATACATTTCAATGAGTTCAAAATACAATGTAAAGATAAGCAATGGAGATAATGTGTCCTTTAATACCCCTTCAAACACAGTATTTTTCTGTCAAAATTTTTATGCATTTTGATATAAATTCTTTGTTTGCAGTGGATTGATCTCGTGCGTCCAAACTTGTATCTTGGACATGCCGAACCGATTACATTGAAATTCACACATACATCATACATAATATTATACATATGCACATTTGTTTCATGCTCTGATTCAATATGGCTAAATGACAGCCATTTTTGTGCTGAAAAATCATTGAAAACAAGCTTTTTTGGCATTCCGGAATTGGATTTCGGTTGTTTAGACATGGATTTTGTTCAAACTTAGTACCTACATTAGACTTTATTGGACCTTGACGCACGTCATTTTGTTTTTCAGGTCGGATTGAAAGTGGCCGACAGTCTTTGTTAAAATTTTATATATTCGTTCTACATCATGTTATAGATATATAGATGTATTTAAAATGGCCAACCAGTGGCCATTTTGTTTTAATTAATGCTGTTTTAATATCTCTCAATATAGACAAGTCCTCGTTTGACAATCAGATACAAGATGTCAGTCATTTTAATGTTAAAAAATCATCATAATCAAGTATCAGCTTCTGGATCCATATCTCTGACATGTTTATGTTCCAACTATATTATTATAAACAAAACTATATACATGTACATTTGTGTATCTTAAATTAGATGAGGACTGTGCTTATTAATTTTGTATCAGATAGACACAAGATTTACTCTGACCTGCATGTTTTAGAGGACCATGGATGAATCTAGTATTCAAAGAGTTCAAATACTGATTAAGATGTACCAATATCTTAACCACTCATCAGATTCAATGAAACTTGGTACATAGATGCTTAGGAATAAGCCATATACAGTTTAGAGTTAATATTTTTGCTTGCTAATTACCTAATTTGCATAAAATACCAAATTTATAGCTGTTTACAGATAAATTGAGTACCACACATCAAAGTTTAATGAAACAATAAGTAAATACAGTATTCCTTAGTTGTACTTCATGCCTCCAATACCTTTCCAAGCTTTCTTTGCTTTAGTCATCTGTTGGCATAAATCAATTTTGAAAATGAGAATAAAATTTCAGACAATTTTAAAACAATATCAATATAGTTACTGAAATGCAGAAAATATAAATGAATAAATTAAAGATTAAACAAATATTTAAAAAAAAAAGAGTAAAGCCCATTAAGATATTTAATAAAACTTTACGGCTAACCTCAAAATGCAAATGCCCTTTGAACTATCTCAACTACCTACCTAAACCTGAACATAGCAAAAGCAACATAATTATGTTCTCCCACCACAAGTACAAATGTACTACTAAAAGTTTAATAACATTATTTTTTCCTGTTTTAACAGCTTCTATACAGATTAAAACCACATTTTGTGTTCACTGCACACAGTCATCGTGTAAGTATTCAACTAGTCTGACTGCTATACTACCAAGTGTTAACAAGTCTTACTGCTATACTACCAAGTGTTCACAAATCTGACTGCTAGTACTGAGTGTCTACTCGTCTGACTGCTGTACCAAAAAGTGTTCACAAGACTGACTGCTATACTACCAAGTGTTCACAAGACTGACTGCTATACTACCAAGTGTTCACAAGTCTGACTGCTATACAACCAAGTGTTCACAAGTCTGACTGCTGTACTACCAAGTGTTCGCAATCCTGACTACTATAGTACTGAGTGTCCACTAATCTGACTGCTACAGTACTGAGTGTCTACTAGTCTGACTGCTATACCAAAAAGTGTTCACAAGACTGACTGCTATACTACCAAGTGTTCACAAGACTGACTGCTATACTACCAAGTGTTCACAAGTCTGACTGCTATACAACCAAGTGTTCACAAGTCTGACTGCTGTACTACCAAGTGTTCGCAATCCTGACTACTATAGTACTGAGTGTCCACTAATCTGACTGCTACAGTACTGAGTGTCTACTAGTCTGACTGCTATACCAAAAAGTGTTCACAAGACTGACTGCTATACTACCAAGTGTTCACAAGACTGACTGCTATACTACCAAGTGTTCACAAGTCTGACTGCTATACAACCAAGTGTTCACAAGTCTGACTGCTAGTACTGAGTGTCCACTAATCTGACTGCTACAGTACTGAATGTCTACAAGTCTGACTGCTATACTACCAAGTGTTCACAAGTCTGACTGCTATAGTATTGATTGTTCACAAGTCTGATTGCTATAGTACTAAGTGTTTACAAGTCTGACTGCTCTACTGCTGAGTGTTCACAAGTCTAACTGCTCTACTGCTGAGTGTTGACAAGTCTGACTGCTATAGTACTGAGTGTTAACAATTCTGACTACTATAGTACTGAGTGTTCACCAGTCTGACTGCTCTACTGCTGAGTGTTCACCAGTCTGACTGCTATAGTACTGAGTGTTCACAAGTCTGACTGCTATAGTACTGAGTGTTCACAAGTCTTACTGCTATATTACTGAGTGTTCACAAGTCTGACTGCTATACCACCAAGTGTTCAGAAGTCTGACTGCTATAGTACTGAGTGTTCACAAGTCTGACTGCTATACTACTAACTGAGTTTTCACAAGTCTTACTACTATACTACCAAGTGTTCACAAGTCTTACTACTGCTATACTATCAAGTGTTCACAAGTCTGACTGTTATACCACCAAATGTTCACAAGTCTTACTACTATACTACCAAGTGTTCACAAGTCTGACTGTTATACCACCAAATGTTCACAAGTCTGACTGCTATACTGCCAAGTGTTCACAAGTCTGACTGCTATAATACTGAGTATTCACAGGTCTGACTGCTCTACTGCTGAGTATTCACAAGTCTGACTGCTATAGTACTGAGTTTTCACAAGTCTGACTGCTCTACTGCTGAGTGTTCACAAGTCTGACTGCTCTACTGCTGAGTGTTCACAAGTCTGACTGCTCTACTGCTGAGTGTTCACAAGTCTAACTGCTCTACTGCTGAGTGTTGACAAGTCTGACTGCTATAGTACTGAGTGTTCACAATTCTGACTACTATAGAACTGAGTGTTCACAATTCTGACTACTATAGTACTGAGTGTTCACAATTCAGACTTCTATAGTACTGAGTGTTCACAATTCAGACGGCTATAGTACTGAGTGTTCACAAGTCTGACTGCTATACTACCAAGTATTCACAAGTCAGACTGACATAGTACTGAGTGTCCACTAATCTAACTGCTACAGTACTGAGTGTCTACAAGTCTGACTGCTATACCAAAAAGTGTTCACAAGACTGACTGCTATACTACCAAGTGTTCACAAGTCTGACTGCTATACAACCAAGTGTTTACAATCCTGACTACTATAGTGCTGAGTGTTCACAGATCTGACTGCTATACTACCAAGTATTCACAAGTCAGACTGCTAGTACTGAGTGTCCACTAATCTGACTGCTACAGTACTGAGTGTCTACTAGTATGACTGCTATACCACCAAGTGTTCACAAGTCTGACTGCTATAGTATTGATTGTTCACAAGTCTGATTGCTATAGTACTAAGTGTTCACAAGTCAGACTGATATACTACCAAGTGTTCACAAGTCTGACTGCTACAGTACTGAGTGTTCACAAGTCTGACTGCTACAGTACTGAGTGTTCACAAGTCTGACTGCTATAGTACTGAGTGTTCACAAGTTTGACTGCTCTACTGCTGAGTGTCCACAATTCTGACTGCTATAGTACTGAGTGTTCACAAGTTTGACTGCTCTACTGCTGAGTGTTCACAAGTCTGACTACTATAGTACTGAGTGTTCACAGATCTGACTGCTATACTACCAAGTATTCACAAGTCTGACTGATATACTACCAAGTATTCACAAGTCAGACTGACATAGTACTGAGTGTCCACTAATCTAACTGCTACAGTACTGAGTGTCTACAGGTCTGACTGCTATACCACCAAGTGTACACAAGTCTGACTGCTATATTACTGAGTGTTCACAAGTCTGACTGCTATACCACAAAGTGTTCACAAGTCTGACTGCTGTAGTACTGAGTGTTCACAAGTCAGACTGATATACTACCAAGTGTTCACAAGTCTGAGTGCTACAGTACTGAGTGTTCACAAGTCTGACTGCTACAGTACTGAGTGTTCACAAGTCTGACTGCTATAGTACTGAGTGTTCACAAGTTTGACTGCTCTACTGCTGAGTGTCCACAATTCTGACTGCTATAGTACTGAGTGTTCACAAGTTTGACTGCTCTACTGCTGAGTGTTCACAAGTCTGACTGCTATAGTACTGAGTGTTCACAAGTCTGACTGCTATAGTACAGAGTGTTCACAAGTCAGACTGCTATACTACCAATTCACAAGTCAGACTGCTATACCACCAAGTGTTCACAAGTCTGACTGCTATAGTACTGAGTGTTCACAAGTCTGACTGCTATACTACCAAGTATTCACAAGTCAGACTGCTATACCACCAAGTGTTCACAAGTCTGACTGCTATAGTATTAATTTTTCACTATAGTACTGAGTGTTAACAATTTTGACTACTATAGTACTGAGTGTTCACAGATCTGACTGCTATACTACCAAGTATTCACAAGTCTGACTGCTATACTACCAAGTATTCACAATTCAGACTGCTATAGTACTGAGTGTTCACAAGTTTGACTGCTCTACTGCTGAGTGTTCACAAGTCTGACTGCTATAGTACTGAGTGTTCACAATTCAGACTGCTATAGTACTGAGTGTTCACAATTCAGACTGCTATAGTACTGAGTGTTCACAGATCTGACTGCTATACTACCAAGTATTCACAAGTCAGACTGCTATACTACCAATTCACAAGTCAGACTGCTATACCACCAAGTGTTCACAAGTCTGACTGCTATAGTATTAATTTTTCACTATAGTACTGAGTGTTAACAATTTTGACTACTATAGTACTGAGTGTTCACAGATCTGACTGCTATACTACCAAGTATTCACAAGTCTGACTGCTATACTACCAAGTATTCACAAGTCAGACTGCTATAGTACTGAGTGTTCACAAGTCAGACTGACATAGTACTGAGTGTCCACTAATCTAACTGCTACAGTACTGAGTGTCCACTAATCTAACTGCTACAGTACTGAGTGTCTACAGGTCTGACTGCTATACCACCAAGTGTACACAAGTCTGACTGCTATATTACTGAGTGTTCACAAGTCTGACTGCTATACCACAAAGTGTTCACAAGTCTGACTGCTGTAGTACTGAGTGTTCACAAGTCTGACTGCTATAGTACTGAGTGTCCACAAGTCTGACTGCTATAGTACTGAGTGTCCACAAGTCTGACTGCTATAGTACTGAGTGTCCACAAGTCTGACTGCTATAGTACTCAGTGTTAACAATTCTGACTACTATAGTACTGAGTGTTCACCAGTCTGACTGCTATAGTACTGAGTGTTCACCAGTCTGACTGCTCTACTGCTGAGTGTCCACAAGTCTGACTGCTCTACTGCTGAGTGTTCACAAGTCTGACTGCTCTACTGCTGAGTGTTCACAAGTCTGACTGCTCTACTGCTGAGTGTTCACAAGTCTGACTGCTATAGTACTCAGTGTTAACAATTCTGACTACTATAGTACTGAGTGTTCACAGATCTGACTGCTATACTACCAAGTATTCACAAGTCAGACTGCTATACTACCAAGTGTTCACAAGTCTGACTGCTATACCACCAAGTGTTCACAAGTCTGACTGCTATAGTATTAATTTTTCACTATAGTACTGAGTGTTAACAATTCTGACTACTATAGTACTGAGTGTTCACAGATCTGACTGCTATACTACCAAGTATTCACAAGTCTGACTGATATACTACCAAGTATTCACAAGTCAGACTGACATAGTACTGAGTGTCCACTAATCTAACTGCTACAGTACTGAGTGTTCACAAGTTTGACTGCTCTACTGCTGAGTGTCCACAATTCTGACTGCTATAGTACTGAGTGTTCACAAGTTTGACTGCTCTACTGCTGAGTGTTCACAAGTCTGACTGCTATAGTACTGAGTGTTCACAAGTCTGACTGCTATAGTACAGAGTGTTCACAATTCAGACTGCTATAGTACTGAGTGTTCACAAGTTTGACTGCTCTACTGCTGAGTGTTCACAAGTCTGACTGCTATAGTACTGAGTGTTCACAATTCAGACTGCTATAGTACTGAGTGTTCACAATTCAGACTGCTATAGTACTGAGTGTTCACAGATCTGACTGCTATACTACCAAGTATTCACAAGTCAGACTGCTATACCACCAAGTGTTCACAAGTCTGACTGCTATAGTATTAATTTTTCACTATAGTACTGAGTGTTAACAATTTTGACTACTATAGTACTGAGTGTTCACAGATCTGACTGCTATACTACCAAGTATTCACAAGTCTGACTGATATACTACCAAGTATTCACAAGTCAGA